GTTAAAGTTTTATAACCTTTAAAACACCAATTGTCAATATCACATGCCAAATATTTTACAGCTAAACATCCTTAAATCCAAGTCAAATAAGTTCTGGAGCAGGATTTCTCTTACTTTGTCTAGCTGTGTATTTCAGTTATTATCAATGGAAATGCTTTTTAGTCAGTTTGTGTGTGTGTGGTGAAATCAACGTTTATTGACATTTACTGATACAAATCTAATCCTTTTCAACCTGCTTATGAGGCAACCTCATCATACCGTCCCCTCCATAAACTTATCAAGCTCAGTCTTGAAGCCAGTCAGGGGTCCTTCGCTGCATTTTACCTCTCCTGGAACTGGCCTTCTTAATACCCTTTATAAACCAGAGGGGAAATTGTCCAGCTTGTACCCTTAGCCCCCCCAAACCTCCTCCTCTCCCATCCTCTGCTGCTGTATGTGCTGATACACAGGTATTTTGCATTCCAAACCAGATGGCGTTAAAGGCAACACCTTGATTCGAATTGGCGGTGTGCCCAGCATTCTCGAACTCCTTTCTGCCTGTGAGTCCTTCAAGGAGATCATCGTCACACACAATACGGATCGGAACTGCCAGGAACTGCAGAAATGGCTAAAGAAAGAGCCGGGAGCGTTTAACTGGATTCCGGTGGTGAAATACGCGTGTGAGCTGGAAGGGGACAGGTACGGGGAGGAGAGCTAGTTCTGTTACAATTCACCTAAAGAAAATATGTAAAAATCCCTTTTAATTTGTGGCTCTTCCATCCCTGGGGTACTTTTTTCCTAATAATTGTTATGTATTATGGTGGTGTTCAATACGTATAAAAAGAAAGAAGTGGATTGGATTGAAGTAAAGGAAAAATTTAAGAGAAGTCTGGAACCAGGACTCCCCTCCAGTTACCGCTAGCAAGGGATTCCTCTGAATTCAGCAGACTCAGAGCTTGATCTTGCAATGCTTACAAGAGGAAGGTTTACACCTACAAGGGTAATTCCTCCCCCCCGCCGCCCCGGCAGAGTGGTGAACACTTCAGGATTAGACACCCCTTCACTCCCATTTTAGCCTTCAAAATGGGCC